TCACCCTAGCAAAGATCCATCGCCATTCTGGACTGATAGGACCATTGAAAGAAAACACAATCAAAAAATGGTTCAGTCAGCACAACCATCTAAAGGCAGATTATGAAAAGGTTTGTCCTGCTGTAGCTAATTTTAAATAATGTACTTAAAGAAGAATATGCTCTGGATCATTAACTATTGTGTTTCATGAAAAAGTAAATTAAGGACATCTTGAGTTCTAATCCATTCAGTCATCAGCTTAGTAATAATGATCCAGTTTAAATGGTATATTAACTAGATAAAATTTCTGTATTTGGTTTTGTTTCTTACAGCCATCTCTCTTGAGATGTTGCTCCTTGAAACTACTTCTTTCAAGTTATCTCTGCCTATCTGTATACAATCTCCAGTTTCTATAAATCCCTCTCCTTCCTTTGCAATGCATTTCTTCTGCCTACTTTTTCATGCCTTATTCTTCCAATGCTTGTAAAATGCATAAATATCTGAGAACTTTACAAAATGTACTGTTATATTTGACTGAAAACATTTTTTCTCACTTCCCTTCACACTGGCATCTGGCCTGTGGTGTATAGTTGTGCAGGTTCTGCCATCTACCAGGGCTCCCAGCTAAGGAAGGAGCTGCTTAAATCCAGGCTTTATTCCACTTGCCAAAGCATGAACTGGTCCTGCTGGGTCTACCTGGAGGGAGGAACATCTTTATGCCAGTTCACACAAAGATACAATAAGGGCTAGCACTGAGTTTTCTCAAAACTGTCCTGAGCACTGAAATTTCTTCATTCTAGGCAACTCCTCAGTCCTGAACAAACTGGAATGATTGGTCACCCTAGTTAACACAGGCCATGATAGAGAGACCCAAGAGTTCATCGATTTCAGATTTCTATGAGATTGAAGTGGAGCAAAATATGGGGTTTTGGAGTTCAAATAACAAAGATGAGATAGCATTACCTTGAAATCTATTTTGTAATCATTCACGAAATTAGAACTTGAGTTTTGCACAAATCCCTGGGGTTATATCGTTTGAGGTGTTTACGCATATATTTGCTCTTCACAGCTACACATAAGGGCATCTTTTATTATCTTCACTTTGTAAGTGAAACATATATAATGAGACAAATTAAGTGACTTGTTCAGGCACTTGGGATATCTGGAACTAAGACAGGTAATCCAGTGACATAGATTTCCACTCCAGCATGTCAGCCACCCCGTTCCAGGAGACCCATTACCATGGCCCAACCAATCACTCACAGCTCCACCATGGTTACAGTCCTGGTTGCATCACTGATGAAAATAATGTGTACTCAGGAGACCATTTGAAAACAAAGAGTATTTTGGCAAGAAACCTCTGTTTATTAAAGAAACAGAAGCCACAATTGACTTAGTGATAACCTGCTTCCACCCACACTGACATTCACTGATGTATACTGTACCAAGACACTTTTGGACATTAGCTGGATGACATATTTGTAAGGATAAACATAAGATATTACCTATATCTCAATACGGTTTTTTCTGTGTTACAAATTCAAATATTCAAAATTGACATTTTAAGTTTCTCTGGGGATAGGAAATATTGAGCCATATTTTTCCTTCTTCTTTTACCTTGAAAAAAAATCATTCAATATTGTATATTTGGGACATCAAAAAAATACACCAGGAATCCTCTTCAATAAGCTATGAAAATTAGATCCAACTGAATGAAAGAGATATTTTGCCCAATTTAAATGAAAACATTTATTAGCCACAGAAGAAATTGCTTCATGTTCTTCTATAGCATATCAAGAACCAGTCATTTAATCATAATCTTCTCTCAACTGAGACGTAGAAGTGGGTCTCGATTATGTAATTTTGCTTTTTATACTACTTTTTACCATTATCTCTGACGCTAATGCATTTGCTTATTTTATCTGTGTGTTATCTTTGTGTTATTTCTTTTCAACCAATTAGGCCTTGAGGAACTTTTTCTATTCCTGTGCCGGCTGGTGTGTGGTAACGTTCATCTTGGGAGTCTGTGACCGACATAACGACAATATCATGCTGACAAAGTCAGGCCACATGTTTCATATTGACTTTGGAAAATTCCTAGGTCATGCACAAACATTTGGAGGGATAAAAAGGTCAGTGTGCAAATAATGTCTATTACAGTAATTAAGCAATGTCCCAGAGTGATATAGGACATTTAATGGCATAGAAACCCAGCAGATGGCTTGTTCCCCCGGCTCTCAAATCCCCCCAGATAACATAAACATGTTTATATATCTAATATGATTGAAGGAAATATTTTCTTCAATATATTTTTAATGGAACAAATTAGGTTTCCTCAAATTGTTAGTGGACTCCTCCCATGAGAAACTAATCCTGCTCCAGTCTGAATTGTCTGAAATATAATATTCTTGTTTTCTTATAAACCTTGAATGGACAATGGGGCATGAATTCGTGGTCTCAATACATCCAGTATATTGCCCATAGCAATCACCATCCCTGGTCTACATATCACAAAACTAAC